CATTGAAATTCCAAAAAGTGCAAGAACTTACACCGCAACAGAAAGAAAATAGACTCAAAAGAGCTAAAGAGTTGCTTCGCTTGGCCGAAAGTGGTGAACTGCCGAATTTGGTTTTCTTTTGTTGTCCAGCAGTTGGTAAGCCAACAAAATGATTGTGCTTACTTGCCAAAGAGGTCAGCTGAAAATGTGCACCTTCGGCTAGCCACCAGAACTCTAGCGGCGGCCATGGTGATAGTATGGGCCGCCATAACAGCCGATGGTCGCTATCCACTCGTATTTATCGAACGTGGCATCAGAATAAATGCCGAATATTATAGCGAACATATTCTGGAGGGTATATTAAAGCCTTGGGCACTCAAACATTTTGGCCGCAGACCTTGGACATTCTAACAGGACTCAGCACCATCGGACTCAGCACGCTCCACCCAAGAATGGTTACAAAATTAACTTCCTCGCTTCATTTCCAGCGCACAATGGCCACCAAAATCTCCGGATACCAATCCGTTGGATTATTGTGTCTGGAGTATTTTGGAAAACAAGGAATGGGCCAAAATACCGCAGAACAACATTCGGGCAGCGTGTAACGGTTTCATTGGTCGTTTGGAGGCCATAATTCGTGCTAAAAGTGACCAATTCGAACAAATCTAACCTTATTCTAAAATTTGATGCTTATTCCGACAATTTTGGTTTTCCTTCAAAAAATAATTTAAAAAAATGTAAAAATTATGGCGTTGGACTATGTCGCAGTTTTTTATACCGTACACCACAAGGTGGTCAGGGTATTATGTCTTTGTGCATTTATTAGTAACAGGCAAAAGGAAACGAGATAGTCCCATAGTTCCTTTTGACGATCTGCATAGAATCACATTCTGAGTCGATTTATGCATGTCCGTCCGTCCGTCGGTCCATGTTTTTTTGTAAACAAAGTACAGTTCGCATTCATTGCCCTATCCAGATGAAATTTTGCACAAATCATTTGTTTGTCCCAAGGACGAACCCTATTGAAATTGGAGATAATCGGTCAAAATTTAGATATAGCTCCCATAGATATCCTCGTCCGATTTGCCTTTTATTGTGCACCAAACGTGTAATATCAGCCCGAATAGTATGGAATTTTGCACATACAACCAAATTAGGCCTAAAAATAAGAATGTCAAATTTGATCGAAATCGGTTCAGATATAGCTATAGCTCCCATATATATTTTTCATGTTATTTTTGTCCTCCGCACCCGTAATAGGCACTCTGTAACAACAATATTTGGGGAAATATATCAAATGCAGCTCAGAGATACATTTGCTAAATTTTATTGAGATCGGTTCAGATTTGGATACAGCTCTCATATATAAACTCGTCCGATTTACCTTTTATTGTGCACCAAACGTCTAATATTTGTCCAAATGGGATGGAATTTGGCACTTACGACCGAATTGAGTCTAGAAGCTAGTATGTCAAATTTGGTGAAGATCGGTTCAGATATAGCTATAGCTCCCATATATACTGTTCAACCGTAATATGCACTCCGTAACAACGATATTAAGGGAAATATGTGAAATACAGTTCAGAAATATCATTGTCAAATTTTATCGAGATCGGTTCCGATATATATTTTGATCCGATTTCAAATTAATTGGGCAATACAACTCCGAATTTAAAAGATACAAATGCTTAGGCATTTTTAGTCCTTTGAACTTTAAATTATAATTATAATCATAGCGTGTATGATTGAATTCCCCAAAAAAAAACTACTAAATTAGCAAAATGGTGTAGGGTATCATAAAGTCGGTCCTGTCCGATTTTAAGACTTTCTTTACTGGTTTTATTTCAACCTCTATATATTTCGAAAATTATATCACCCATCATTTTGTCATGGTCTTCCGTATTAAAAAAAATAACATTTTCGACCCCCTCTATTATACACTTCCATGTGCTAATTATGCTCATTCAACCAGCAAACCATCTCAAATTGATGCCTGTTTTTTTTTTTTTTTTCATTTTTTCTTTCGAAAATTTTTTTTCAGCGCAGATTTCTTGTTTTTCTTTTTTTTTTTGCCATGAAAATTACAATGAACTCCACCATGAATAGAACAACCCCAAGAAACAACCAGTTTTGCCTAACACAAAACAAAGAACATCTTCAACATCAATTTTAAGCCACTAATAAATCTACAAATCACAACAGTCATAAACATGACATTTAACATAATTTTTATGGCTGCTAAAACATTTAAAATTTTCCTTTAACCAAAACTAAAAACTCTGCATAAATTTCACTTTTTCATCGAAGGCAAGGCTCTAACATTAAATCTAAGCGATACAGCTACTCAAATTTTGAATGGCAAAAACAAAAAAAAAAACTTGGTTGAAAATTATTTTTTTATCACATTCATCAACATCTTTACGCAAATTGCACTTTCTTTCGTCGGCCTGATGCTTGTCAGCCAGCCCTTGCATGAAAGTCATCAACTTACTTTTGCTGTCACTGAGCGTGGAAAGATTTAATGAACTTTTGCGACACAAGATATAAAATATGTTATGAAATAATAAAGAAATTTAAATATTTTAAGGAACCTTCGTTCCATGCACTCACTATACTGTGTCGGTACGAATGATAAGAAAAGCCCTCTCTTGCGATTTTTTTCAGCAAGAATTGTCCAGCAACTTTTTTCTCAGTGTTTCATCTCTTTTATAAGAGAAAATCTCTGCAAAACAGAGCGGTCAGAGAGAGAAATTTTGACAGTTCTTTCAGTGAAACTTTGCAAATTCTTGCTGGACAAATTTCTTCTTGCAACTCTTCTTCTTCTACTCATTCATCGACATTCAATCAGATGTTTTCTATTGTTTGTTTATTTCTTTTTGTGCTTTCAATTTGAAAATATTTTTTTTGGAATTAGTAAGACTAATTGTTTTTGGAGAACAACTTTATAAAATGTGAAAAACGTAAATATTAAAAAAGAAAATAAGACAACCGCCATTAGCAACACTTTTAAGGGTTCCTGGGAACACATCAATTCTATTTTTCGTTTATTGCTCATATTTTTATTTTTTTGCTAATTTATACCCTCCACTATAGTATGGAGGGCATATTAAGTTTGTCATTCCGTTTGTAAAACCTCGAAATACACATTTTAGATTACAATTCTATGTCGATTCAGCGATGTCCGTCCGTCTGTGTAAATCACTCCAGCTTCCGAACGAATTGAAGTAGATTGATAAAATTTTCCTCAAATGTATGTTATGTCTGCAGGACTTTTGGTATTGAAAATGTAGATCCACGTTTTGGTGTAGCCCCCATAAAACGGTACCTCACGATATTCGGTATTTTGATGATTTTAGCGGCATTATTCAGCGGAATTGTTTCGAATTTGCTATTTGAAGTTCGTAATGGATACTACAGCCTAAGACATTCACCGGACTTTTGTCAAATTTGGTATTTGTAGTTCGTAATGGATACTACAGCCTATAACAGAAAATTGCCTGTGCGGGTCCACGTCTTCGTATAGCCCCCATATAACTGAACCCCCGATATTTGGTATTTTGATGCTTTTATTTATTTTTATTTATTTCATTTATTTACCGGAATTATTTTACATTTTGTATTTGACGTTCGTAATGGATATTGCCGCCTATGCCAGAAAATTTCCTGTGCAGCTCCGCGTTATATAACCCCCAGGGTACCTCCCTATATTTTGATGATTTTAGCTACATTATAAACAGATTTTTTTTTAAAGTTTCGCATTTGAATATTGTAATAGCTTGTGACAAAGTTGCTTATGCAGGTCCATGTCGTCGTATGGACCTAATATACGGCTACATTCGGTGTTTTTACGACTTTAACAGAATTTTTAACGGATTTTATTTTTTATTTATTTATATATTTTTTTATGAAAATTGCCAAATTTGTACCAAGTGGTGGAGGGTATTCAAAGTTCGGCCCGGCCGAACTTACAGCTTTTTTACTTGCTTATATATAATATGTTACTTTATGATACGCAATGTAATAATTTTAGGATATTTTTTTCTTTTTATTTTTATTATGGAATAAATTTGTGTAGTTTTCCGCTAGTTGTGATACTTATTGGCCAAATGACTTTTTCATTGCATCATTTAAATAAATAAATGAAATGAATTAAGAAGGTAAAGTCAAGCAATCACATGTTTACATTTTTTTTTAAATTATTCACTTGACAACCTTTTATTGTCAAAATATTTATTTATAAATCGATTATACATTTACAGAGATGGAAATCTGATTTCTATGCAGTGAAATTTGACAAGGTAAATTACAGAAAATGCAAAGATGGTAATGCTTTTTTGAAATGACTTTACCTTCTTGATTTTACCATGGGCAAAACTAAGTTTTGACACAAAATGGAATGAAGTATCATATTTTTCAGTATTGTACAATTTATATGGATATGCTTTTTTATTTGAATTTACAAAAAAAAAAAAATTAAATTGTGTGTATGTGTACGAATTTGACAGACATCAGAAGAAAATAATACATCTAGGATGAAGCTTTATTATATCTCCTGTTATTGTAACATGAAGTTTGTCATGTCCTTATAAATAGCGTCTCTCCACCCTAGCATTAAAAATACTATACTGTTTTAACTTGTTGATTACATTTTTAAACTGTCATTCTGATTAGCAATTTGCAAACGGCTTTCGGATACAACACTGTTACTTTTATGTAGTTGTGACAACTAAACACAGCCACAATTCTAAAGCATAAAAATAAACAATTAGTTTGGTTAATTTTATTATAAAATTTCGTGTAGCTGCACGAAATGTAAATAAAACCAAATACGAATATTATTATTTACTTTAATAATTAGTTCCTTTTCTTTCAAAATATTATTTTATTTATCAAAAACTGAATAGCCTATGAAAATTATAAAGAACAACAATTGATAGCATGATTTGCTTCGGTAATATCAATTCAGGGTGAATACCAACGGAGAAGAAGCATATGTTGTTTTGTTCGTCCCTATACTACTGCTACACTGCAAACAAAGAAAATTCATAAATTCATTTAATAGTGTAAAAAAGGATATATATTTTCAATTATTCACCTTAGAGGAGTGTACAAAGAGACAGAAAGCAAAAAATAACAATAAAACCCAGAAAATTCCACGCAGCAATCAAGAGTATACCGTATAAGATATTCTATATATTCACATATTCCCCGACGTTATTGGTATCCTCTTAAGGGCGATTGTGTGAACGAAACCAATCAAAACATTTCACAGCGACCTTGACTTTACTGGAAGACAACGAAAAGGCAAATCACTTTCACGCCGGCAACAGCCATTCAAGGAGCCACAAATTTACGACGCGCAAATATTGTTCTGTTGTTTTTGTTTTTCTCCAAAGGTCTTAATTCTGCCGTAGCAGAAACTAATTTTGTTTTTGCTGTGAAGCCCCATAAATCACTGTGGGGTGGTGGGCTCTAAGAACAAAAATAACAATAAACAAACGCAAAATTAGCCACTCATCCACACCCGCCTGCCAACCGCAGTTAGCCAGCCAACAACCATCGGACAAGTAATAGTGCTTTTACTTATGTCCCAACATTTATTCCGTGGTCATCGTTGTTGTTTTGTTTGGAAAAATCATTCAAAATTGTGTTCGACTGGCATTTGTGGACACGATCCGCAACGACGGCTGCGGCTGACACATCTACGGGAATTCTTTGTCGAACGGGGGTTGCAGGTGCAGGAGGAGTTCATTACTGGTTTGGGTTCTCATCACAACAGCTATTGACACTGACAAAATATTTGCAACAATTGTGTAGGGCTTACGGTGGTGGTGGCGACAACAGCAACGACGATACTAAACCAACCAGTACAAAAACAACGAAAATGTCCTCCTCAACGGAGGACGATGTCAAAGATGAAGCGGAGGTTGCGGTACATGTGCCATTAAAAATAAGAACTCATTCCGTGGTGGGGAGCTCATCGGATTCGGATGATTACACCACCGAGGTGGCTGGTGCTCTGGTCGATGTGGAAGGTTTTTGCTATGCCGACTATCGTCTTGAACAATACGCCCACAGTGTATTGGATTTTAGTTCACAGTATGGCATAGATTTGAGTATTTCATATACTGCACCGAACATAACAGGTAGACCATCCAAGTATCCCGAATATGGAGATTTTCCCCAGACATTTGCCATGGTAGGTTGCCAAGTTGTTGTTTTAAGCTAAAAAGTTTAACGTTTTTTTTCCTTTTTAGCGCACCTATGGCGATTGGTGGGATAAGGCCCCCTCACGCCTCAAAGAAATTCATCCACAAAGTTTACCCGCCGTACCATCCGAAGATTTTATAGTCCTTTATTTTGAAGACTATGTTATACCCGATGAAATTGCTATATTTGAGACCTTTAATCCCGGTGCAGTTATACGCATTTGGTCGTATACAATAACCAAGACCTGGATATGTTTGTGGGAGGATACCGGATTTTATACAAGACCGCCGTGTACAGCGAATAGGGCAAGACGTTTCTCACCGCCACTGAAAAGAATACACCTTCCAACTAAGTAAGTCATGAGGAAGATAGGAGTTTTACAATCGCTAACCAATCTGCAATATCTTTAGAACTATAAGACTGGAATTCAATCATCAACGTCTTCATTATTATACGGAAATTGATGCAGTTCTAATGAGTGGTCGAAAGTTTAATATGGGAAATCTCCAGACCCTGTTGGATTTTCATGAAAGACAGCGGAAAGGTGTGTTATTTATCATTTAAATAATTTTTCTTTGGTAATTCGATTTTATGTTGCATATTTTTAGGCTCCATATTAAGTAAATTGCAAAACATGAAATTTCGTCCCATATGCAAGGATAACTATCAAACACGTCTGCAACATTTTCTTGATCATGATTTGGATAAATTCATGTCAGCCGTTAACGAGGTTCAGATTAAAACACCAGCTAAGAGTCAAGATTCCACAAGAGTTTCCAAAGTGGATCTAAAAGATATGCCGGTAAGTACAAATTAATTTAATTTAATGAAAAAATAATAATAGTTCCTTTTATGCAGTTTGATATTGTTTTGAAAATCTTCAGTTATTTGGATTTGATTTCGTTGTTTCGTGTTGGCCTTGTCTCACGTTTCTTTTATGATGTCTCCACACATCCTTTGTTGTATAGTGAAATTAATTTAAAGCCCTACTGGCATTTAGCCTCAACGGAATTAATATCGACCCTGGCCAAAAGAGCCACCGTCTTGAAGAAATTGGATATGTCATGGTGTGGCTGTACCATACAGACCGTTTCGCCAACGGAGTTTAAAAAGTAACTTGAATAATTTAGTTAATTTTTAATTTTTTTTATTAATGTTTTCCCTCGCTTTCTAGATTTATACAACAACGCGGTGATACGTTGACCCATCTGCGTTTGAATTCATCAAAATTTTTAAATTCCAGTTGCATAGAAACAATTGGAATTGTCTGTGATAATTTAAGAGGTTTGTTTGTCTTAACAAAAATTGTTTCAATAATAACAACATTTTCCTTTTTAGAACTCTCCTTGCGAAACTGTTCCCTGAGTCCGCCATTGTTGAATTTTAGTTGTTTGGCAAATTTGAAAAATCTCGATCGTTTGGACCTTTTCCAAACTGTTATAGAGCAAGATTTGCTGCTGACAATGCTGGAGAGTAACCCAAAGTTAAAACATTTAAATTTAGGTAAGTATAACGTATAAGTATAATTGAAATAAGGGGTGCTGAATAGGGACAGTGTTTAAATCAGGTCGGAACTTTGTTATTCAGTGAAAGAAAAAAATCGCTTGAAAGCAATCCTAGTCAATTGTCCAAGAATTTCTCTAGACTGCTTACGTGTCCAAGTTACTAACTCTTGACCCAAAAAAAAAACATTCCCATTCCATTCGCCACCGACTTCTACTAAGGTTTCCATTCCACGCGAGCAGTATGAAAATATCCGCCATGAAATCAACGGCCACATTTTACCACATTTGACAGCATGTTCAAGTTGGCCGCCCAAGCCACAGCTATCTGCGACAAGATGAAAAGTAGGAACAAGGTCCTCAAGGCGCTAGCCGGCAGCACTTTGGGATGCGGACAAAGAAACCTTGTTGACCTCTTATAAGGCGATAGGTCGATCTGCAGTCAGCTATGCAGCTCCAGTGTGATCTGCGAATACTAGTGCTACGCATTGGAATCACATCCAGACCTGCCAGAATGCTGCCTTGAGAACTACGACAGGGTACGTCCTCATGACACCAGTGGACCATCTACATGAGGAGGCGAAAGTCCTTCCCTTGCCTCAGCATAAACATATGCTTTCGTTGCAGTACCTGCTTGGGTGTTACCGTGAGGGTCATCCCAACCATCATATGGTAAATACAACTCTCCCACCCAGGCGTGTCAGGAAGGACATACACGATCTAGAGAGGGAAGTCCAACGCTATAAGAGAGAACCGCTAGATCAAGAAGCCTATCAGGCAGGTCTGAGTGGCATTCATACCGATGCAGTCGCAGATGCTATCAGCAGTTGCAGGATGAATTAAGACCACCCCCCCATCCATTGCAGCTGGAGAGCGCCAGCTGTCTGGACAAACAAGGATAGTTTTGGCGCTATTACGTTCAGGATGGTATTGGGTACGAATTGACGTGACGTTTGCCCAGCTTCTGATACAGGCCCGCACAATACACCGCACCTCTTTAATTGCACAGCCAAACCTACCCAACTCACTCCAGAAGATCTCTGGCTATAGCCCATTAAAGTAGCCGAATTTTTAAAGCTGGATCTTAAACCAGATTAGCAGAATGCAAACACTCACGTGTACTACTGCTACAACAACAACTAAGGTTACCTTAAGGACAGATCTGTCGACTAACCACAAGCATCGTCTTGTTTTTGACTATGTAAACTAAATATGCTGCCCTGACACAGTTTCAAATTTGAAGCATTAGATCTGAAGTTTGGATTTTTTGCATCGGCATCAAAGTTCACTCTCAGCTGATTCATACCAGCTCGAAATGCTCACGAGTTCGGATTAGGGAAAAATCTGTCGACCTACCATAAGATTTTTTCCCTTTAAAATTTTTGACATGTGTTAAATAGACTGATCTGGTATCATCTTAGCTGTCGACAGAGATCCAAATTTACACCGTCTGCTCCGAATCTGTGTTATTAGCTTACCTTGAAAATTTGGCTACAGTTTAATTGATATTCCATATACTTTCAGCATTTTGCAATGTGGCTGTAAACATGGACGATGTCGCTGTACATATTTCCGAATACAATAAACAATTGATTTCGCTCGATATGTGGAAGGCACATTATCTGTCGGCTCACGGTCTATTGGCTTTATCCAAGTGTCATGATCTCGAAGAAGTTGATTTTGGTTGGTGGTAAGTTTTTACACAAAAAAGAAATTATTCAAAGAATGTCGTAATACCATTCTCTTTTCCGCAGCTTACGTGAGGCTACCTTAGGCGATAGTCTAAAGGAATTTCTTATAAATTGCCCGAAAATAAAGAAACTATTTCTGGCAGCTGTACGAGGTCTAACCGATCGTGATCTAGAGGATATTGCTAATCTATGTCCCAACCTGGAACAGCTGGATTTAATGGGTGTTTTGGGTATATCCAAAGAAAGATATTACGAGTAAGTGGGTTGTGAGTCGGAAAAAGTTTAATTTTTTTAAAATGTAAATGTTTTTTTACAGTATCTTACAAAAATGTAAAAAACTACAATTAATGGATTTAAGTTTTTGCGATAACATAATGGATTATGAGGTATATTTTACTTTTTGGAAAAATTCAAATTGCATTGTTTTTTAAAATGGCATTTTTATACTTCCAGGTGGCCATGTGGTCTCACAACTTCAATGTGAATATCAAATGTTGTCATGTACCTAACGATATACGATAAGATATCTATTTAGAATAATAGTTTGTAACAAAAACGGAACCAGATTCTATAGTCAAATTTTTAAATGAATACCAGGTAATGAAAATGAAGAAGCCTTTTACTGCATACATTTCTAGTTACTATTTCTAGCAAAGCAAAGAGACAAAACTGTTGAATGAATGTATAGATAGTTAATAAATTATATAACAAAACCTCGAAATGTTTTATTTTAATTACGAAAAGGGGGGATTTATTTAATTATTTAAGTATTCTAAATAAATGCAGATTGGAATCTAACAGTTCTTCAACTACAGGATGAGATTAAAAAAAAACGGAAACACAGAGTCAAACCCCATAGTTTTTAATTTTTTTTTCAATTTTATTAACTGAAAGCAAAAAATGTCGGAAATAGCATCAAATTTTAGAATAAGTTTAGATTTGTTCGAATTGGTCACCTTTGGCACGAATTATGGCCTTCAAACGGCCAATGAAACCGTCACACGCCGAATGTTGCTCTGCTGTTTTTTTTGCCCATTACCGGCGAAGCGCTTGTTTGAGGTGATCGACACTTTGGTATTTTTTAATGCCAACCCAGCAATTTGGTGGCCATTGTGCGCTGGAAATGAAGCGAGGAACCTCATTTTGTACCCATTCTTGGGTAGCGCGTGCTGAGTGCGATGGTACTGAGTCCTGTTGGAATGTCCAAGGTCTGCGGCCAAAATGTTTGTGTGCCCAAGGCTTTAATACACCCTCCAGAATATTTTCGCTATAATATTCGGCATTTATTCTGATGCCACGGTCGATTAATACGAGCGGAGAGCTACGACCGGCTGTTATGGCGGCCCACACCATCACCATGGACGGCGCTTGAGTTCTGCTGGCCAACCGAACGTGCACATTTTCAACTGACCTCGCTGGCAAGTAAACACGATCATTAGGTTTGTTTACAAACTGCTGGACAACGAATGTTTTCTCATCGGAGAAAACCAAATTCGGCAGTTCACCACTTTCGGCCAAGCGAAGCAACTCTGTAGCTCTTTTGAGTCTTTTTTCTTTCTGTTGCGGTGTAAGTTCTGGACAACGAATGTTTTCTCATCGGAGAAAACCAAATTCGGCAGTTCACCACTTTCGGCCAAGCGAAGCAACTCTTTAGCTCTTTTGAGTCTATTTTCTTTCTGTTGCGGTGTAAGTTCTTGAACTTTTTGGATTTTCAATGGCTTTGCCCGAGCTCATTTTTCAATATTTGCCGAATGGAATATTGCGATATGTTCAGCTCACGAGCCATTTTTTGGCCACTGCGATGCGGGTTTCGATCAAGTCGCTTATTTACTTTTCGAACAATTTATGCTGATGTTGCTGTTTTCTTCCGTCCACTTCCTTGACGTCGGGCTACGCTACGAGTATCACGGTAACGAGCGATGGTACGAGACACAAAAGGTCACATTCACATTTAAATGCTGGATGGCTCTAACGATAGCCACTTGTGGTTTTCCAGCCAAATATAAAGAAATCACACTATCACGCTTGAATTCCATCACGAATAACTTTTTTTCTGGAAAATTCTCACCAAAATGCTTTTGTATGCTTGTAAACAATATAATAAACTGTCACTGGAATAATTTAAACATCTGTCAGAGGAGTGGCTTAGAAATGACAGCAGTCTGAAGTTGGTTGCAATTTTTCCATCCCACCCTGTATTTTAATTTCAAAGACAGTCCTTAAATAAATTCTACTGCGGATAGTCCTTCAATTTTAAAATCATCATGTTTACTCATATATTCCATCAGTATCTATCTTGAAAACATATGATTTTTGAACTCAGGTAGTATTACAACGAATCCTCAATTATTGTTTCGATAGATCTTCAACGATGTCTTTAAAACTCATTGATTTCTCAATAAATTACGTATAAAAGTTCTCGATGGTCATTCAGATATTCCATGATAAAATATTCTTTAAAAATATCCCCATTTTTACCCCCGCTAACACCTTCAAAACTATCCTTAAAATTATTTTTTTTTTAAATTACATCTTGGCTCCTTTGCCATTGTAAATCGGCATGTCGCCGTCAAAAACCCACTCAGCGACTTCAAACTCTCCTCAATTTTGACATTTCGGTCTTTTTCTGCTGACTGCCAATTGTCGAGCTGCATAGCCCTACATTTCATTCGTTCGTTCAGGAGGAATTCATGAAATGCGATTTTTGAGACAATTCTTGCAAAAAAAGTCTTAACAACATTTTACAACAAATTACAAGCGTGTTAAGTGAGTGCGTTAAACGAAAAAAAGCTCGTAAGCCGTGAAAAGGTCATCATCTATGGAAACGGTCGGTGAAGAAATGAAAACGTGGTAAAGAATGTGAAGCAAATATCTAATGAAGAAAAAATGAAAAGTTTTTAACACCAAACAGCAACAACAAATACAAGTAGTGAAGAAGAAACAAAAAAAAGAGTAGCAAAAGAACCAAGAGCGAGCCAGCCAACCCAACAACACACAAGTGACAGCCAGGCCGTATGAGCCAAATTATTAGTGAAAAGAAGCACAAGAAGAATACACCCAATACAAAAAAAAGAAGAAGAAATGAAAAATTCTTCCAAATTTATTTAAATAAATTAAGAAATTGAGATATTTAGCATATCGTGGCGTTCGGAAAAAAGAAACAAAACGTGGAAATAAAGCGTAAAACACAAATATCGTATCAATTAAGAATCTTGCTAGGTGTTGGTGTGTGCGTGTGTGAGTGTTGTGTGCAGCCCCAAAGAGGAGCAAAGTTTGGCAAACCGAGAAAAGTTAGAAGTGTATTTTGTTGACCAATGTTGAGATTATTCAATATGGGTTATTAATTAAATGAAAATAAACGAATTTATTTCATGTTCTGCTCAAAAGTTAGTTCAAGAAAAAATCCTACAAAGGTAGAAAAATTATAAAGAAATAACAAAATAACTAACAAAAATAGTCGGAAGCCTAATAAATAAAAGAAGAAAACCTGCCAATAGCCACAAACTGACGTTTACGTTGTCCGTCACCTTCAATAACAACAACGACGACGTTGACGTCGACGTCGCCATCGTTGACTCGAGCAGCATCGGCATTTCTGCCCGTAATCGTCGTCACGAATAACAGCAACTGCAAGTGCAACAATAACAACAACAAAAACAATATCTAATAAACAACAAATCTAATCTCCCTCTCTTCGAAAAATTAGCCAAAATTTAAACTCCATCCAGTAAAACAACATCAAAATGGATGAGGATGAAAATAATCAGGCGGCACATAGTAATCGTACAAGAAGAACTTCCCCCAGTAACACCACCACGACTGCCACGAACGATCAAGATGGTATCGAAGTTACTGCCGAAGCTACCAACTCAGATTTAGATTTCGACGACGATGATGATTTGCTGGATACCATTGAGGTGACTGTTACCACAGATGGTGCTCCAATGCCTCGAGATGAGACGGATGAATTTGAAATTATCAATCTTACCTCTCCTGCATCATTAGTTAATAATTTGGCGACCTCCTTGGCGGCGGCCGCAGCCAATGCCACCAATCAAATGACGAGGGAGAGGCAAATTCAGGATACTCGTCTGACCACGTTAGCAAGTGTGATTTTCAGTAATGCGCCCAATTATCGAATAAATCGAAATCAAGCGGCAGGTCAGGGAACATCAACGGCGGGTGGCCCAAATCGATCCACCACCAATCCGGCTCATACTCTAAATTTAAGGGTACCTTGGAATTATGGAGCAAATGCAACGGCTGCCACCTCAGCATCGGCAGGTGCAGCATCCGGCTCGGCATCTGGCCACACAAATGCAACACCACAATATGAAGTAATGCACTGGGCCGGTGATTATGATACCATGAGCAATGATGACATGGATGAGGCCAGCACTTCGGAGAGGGCAACAAATTTGAGTTCGACAGCCGATAGTGGAGTTGATGATTTTGGTTTGGGCCCAGCCGATAGTGGTGACAGTGGTGCCGGCGGTGCTGTGCCCAGTTTCTTCTTCGATAGTTCTTCATTTCGTTCACGCACCCGCAAAGAAGTTGCTGCTCTCATCAATGCCGAGTGTTGTCGTGGTGGACCAACACCCGATTTGGATTATATTATGGATCAGTTTTTCAATCCCAGCACACCCATTGATAACCCGGATAATATTTCATGGATTAGGTGGTTAATTGCTGGCGGTCGTACCATTAGGGAGTTTGTTAAAATTGGTAAGTCACACATAAAATACGAATTTTAAAATAAAAAAATAAAAAATAAACACAGAATCTATTGTAGGGAATAAAGAGGGGTTAAATAGCAGAAGTTGGACTATATTTTGGCTGAGAAAAGTTTTGTGCCAATTGTAATTGAATCTTTTTTTCTTACTTGGAACGAAGTATTCGATTTGATCTCTGAACGAAATAGAGAGGAAATCCATATATATTCAAAATGTTAGGTGTTTTTGTGGAAGGAATTATAAGAAACCCACATTAAGGATTTATAAGAATCACATGTAACAGGAGTATAAGAAATTAAATTTGAAGAATACGAAGATCGAAATCAGCGGACATTTGTGGAAATTGGGAAAAAAGATGCCAAACAGAGACTATTCTTTATATTCCATAGAAAATCGTTAGTATTCTTGCAGATTAATAACGCATAAAGTAGATCCAGAAATCGATCTACATGCTGGCTGACAATTTTGAAAGCTGTACAAACTTTAATTTTTAATTGAAAGGCAAGGGACATGTCTATAACTAATGTAATATTTATACCCTACACTACATAGTGGTAAGGATATTATGTTTTTGTGCATTTGTTTGTAACATGGAGGATCTTCATAGAATCACTTTCTGAGTCGATTTATGCATGTCAGTCCGTCTGTCCGTCGGTCGGTCCATGCATTTTTGTGAAAAAAAAAATGCAGATCGCATTTATTATCCGATTGGGCTGAAATTGAAATGGCCCAAGGACGAACCCTATTGAAATTGGTGATAATCGGATCAGATTTAGATATAGCTCCCATATATCATCAACTAATTTTCGGTTAATTGTGATATTTTGGCACATCCAACTGAATTCAGTCTAGAAGCAAGTACATCAATTTTTGGGAAAATTTGGTTCAGATATAGCTAAAGCTTCCATATACAGGGTAAGATAAAAAAAACGAAATAATTTTTACATTTTTTTTTTTAAATTTTATTGAATGAAAGCAAAAATGTCGGAAATAGCATCATATTGTAGAATAAGTTTAGACTTGTTCGAATTGGTCACCTTTGGCACGAATTATGGCCTGACCAAATTTTGTTCTGCGATATTTTGGCCCATTCCAGGCGAAGCGCTTGCTTGAGGTGATCGACAATTTGGTATTTCTTTTTTAGTGCCAACCTTGCTTTCCGGAGATTTTGGAGGCCAATGTGACGCAGGAAATAACGCGAGGAACCTCATTTTGTAACCATTCTTGGTTGGCGCGTGCTGAGTCCTGTTGGAATTAAGGTCTGCGGCCAAAATGTTTGAGTGCCCAAGGCTTTAATACACCCTCCAGAATATTTTCGCGATAATTTTCGGCATTTATTCTGATAACACTGTCGATTAATACAAGCGTAGAGCGACCATCGGCTGTTATGGCGGCCCACACCATCACCATAGACCACCCCCTCCCATCTCAGCTGAAGATCAAAAGCTGTCCCGACAAACCCAAGTAGTTTCGGCTCAACTAAGATCCAGATTCCTATTGGGCCCGGGATCAACATCTGACCAGCTTGTGGCACAGGACCACATGACACGCTGCAGCCAAACCTACTCACTTAACTAAAGTCTCGTTGTGGACCCAAATCGTACAAGTTGGACTCAGAGGCGGCACCCGATTGAGAAGAGTCAGATCGAACACGGCAGTATGAGTTGCTGCAACAACAATAACAACCTTTATTGTCTTTTCTTTTTATTTTAAACCCTCCACCATACTATGGAGGGTATATTGTGTTTGTCATTCCGTTTGTAACACCTCGAAATATACATTTTAGACCCCACTAAGTATTTATATTCTTGATCAGCATAAAATTCTATGTCGATTTATCAATGTCCGTCCCTCTGTCCGTATGTGGAAATCACTCTAGCTTCCGAACGAAATGAAGTAGATTGATTAAATTTTACTCAAATATGTATTATGTCTGCAGGACTTTTGGTATTGAAAATGGGTGAAGTAGGTCCACGTCTTCGTATATCCCCCACATTCGGTATTTTGATGATTTTAGCGTCATTATTCACCGTAGTAGTTTCAAATTACAAATTTGGAGTTCGTAATGCGAATTACAGTCTGTGACAGAAAATTGCCTATGATGGTTCAGGTCTTCGTATAGGCCCCATATATCAGTACCTCCTTATATTCGGTATTTTGACGATTTTAGGTACAATATTCACCGAAAGTGTTTGAGATGTCGTATTTGAAATTCGTAATAGAAGCTACAGCCTATGGCGGAAAATTGTCTATGCAGGTCCAGGTCTTCGTATAGCTCCTATATAACGGTACCTCCCTATGTACGGTATTCTAATGATTTTGGCTACATTATTGACGGTTTATTTCAAGTTTCTAATTTGAATATGGTAATGGCTTGTGACAAACAATGCCTATGTAGGTGCACGTCGTAGAGGCCCTAATATAACGGCTATTTTTCGGTATTTTTAAAATTTTAACAGAATTTTTTTTAATGATTTTATTTCAAAATTCGTTCCAAATGGTGGAGGGTATTCAAAGTTCGGCCTGGCCAAACTTACTGCTTTTTAACTTGTTTTTTTAGTTTAAGAATTCTATGAAGCGTCCTAAAGTCCATAACGTGTACTCCCGTCTTAATTTTGCAAAGGTAGGCTAGAGTGTAGTGTTAAACAGAAGCTATCTATAAAAAATTTCAAAATTCTGAAAGGAGTTTATATATATGCTATTATTGGGTTCCTTTTCATTATAATGTCATTGAAAAGAGCAGGATACTGCTCTGTGTCGCGCTGAAGCCGATAGAAACTGCCATGAATGGGTTAATGGGACTTGAATGCGAGAATGTTTCTTCAACTTTAGCCCAAATCTGTCAGTTTCCTGGCTTATACTGGAATTAACATACGATTTTTCATTTAAGAAGCGGACAATCGGTTAATTTTGGCTTTCCACGGTCGAATAATTGGATTTCGAATATTTTGGATCCCAAAACAAAAAATTCGAAGATCTTGTCATCTTTTGTTTGCTGCCACTAATTGCACTGTTTGTTTGTTAAACATGAAACAGCAGAAGATGACGACGCGTACACACATTTCAATTGGTGGCCGGCCTCTGCTTTGGCTTTCCAAGTACATTCGCCGCCGACTTTGTTGCATTTGCGGCATAGCGATAATTTCGCATTTGCAAAGAAAAAAAATGAAACGATAAATGCAATAGCATTCCTAAAAAAACGCCGTAGCTATAAACCACATAAATATTTCTAGTTTATCAATGAAAAACATTGTTTTTTTTTTACAGTTGCTCTTTGCTGTTGTTGTTTTGCACTTGGCATTTGGCCATAATTTCTAAGCCTAAAAAAGCAGCTGTTTTTTGTTTGATGATTACGAATCAGTGTGTTTGTGCCTGCCTGTGTGAGTGTGTGTTTGGGTAGACGCAAAACAAGTGATAATAAACGAAAACAAATGAAATGCAAAACAAAAAAAAAATAGCGAAAAATATTGATAATAGTTTCAATTTTACACATTTCGCTTTTTTTGTTTTTCATTTGCTGCGGGCAACAAAAATAGTTGAGGACCTACTGCAATTTAATTACCTCAGCTAATAAAATTGTGCTGCACTTGCTGCAAATTTCACTTGGCCATGATGACGTCAGCTGCTTGCGGAGAAAAAAAAACTTTAATAATTATTACACTATCGTTTTAATTTAATTGTCAATGACCTTTTAGGAAAGAGAATTTGTAATGAAATTAAACACTATTATTTATGAAAATAGCAAAATTGCATACGAGGGTTGGTCTAATAATGTGCGTTCTTTTACAAATATGAATGAGTTGTCGATCACACTGTGCGACATGAAAAGAAATTAACTGTTTCAACAAAATCTTATCAATATTCTTCTCTCAATTTTTGTGAACAAAAATTCTTTCAAAATGGCCCGATAACGCAGCAGCCGCTGCTTACTCATTTTCAAAGAAAAAATGTCCTGGACTAAAATCACTGTTCTATTGAGTTGTAGCTCAAGTTAAAGCTCTCAATAAGATATTTGAAAAACAACTTTGAATACCCTCCACCATTATTTTGCAATTTCCAAAAAAATAAAGTCCGTTAAAAATTCTGTTAAAATCTTAAAAATACCGACTGTTTCCGTTACATTACGGTCTATATGACGACGTGGACCTGCATAGGCAACTTTTTATCATAAGCAATTACAATATTGAAATGCGAAACTTGACAAAAAATCTGTTCATAATGTAGCTAAAGTCATCAAATTACCGAATATAGGGAGGTACCATGGAGGTTATAAAACGTGGACCTGCACAGACAATTTTCTGCCATAGGCTGTATTAGCCATTACGAACTTTAAATACAAAATTTGAAATAATTCCCGTAAATAATGTCTCTAAAATCATCACAATACCCAATGTCGGGAGGTACCCTTATATGGGGGAAGACGTGGACCTGCACGGCCCATTTTCTGTCTTAGGCTGTAGTATCCACTACGAACTTCAAATACCAATTTAGAAACAATTCCGGTAAATAGTGTCGCTAAAATCATCAAAATATCGAATATCGGCAGGTACCGTTATATGGGGGCTATACGAAGTCGTGAACCTACATGGCCCATTTTCAATAGCAAAAGTCCTGCAGCCATAACATACATTTGAGTAAAATTTTATTAATCTACATCAATTCGTTCGGAAGCTAGAGTGATTTCCACAGACGGATAGACGGACCGACATCGTTAAATCGACATAGAATTTTATGCTGATCAAGAATATATATACTCTGTGGGGTCTTAAGTGTGTATTTCGGAATGACAAACTTAATATACCCTCCATACTGTGGTGGAGGGTATAAAAATGTCGCAAATACTATCAAATTTTAGAATAAGTCCAGATTTGTTCGAATTGGTTACCTTTGGCACGAATTATGGCCTTCAAACGGCCAATGAAACCGTTACACGCTGCCCGAATGTTGTTCTGCGGTACCTTGGCCCATTCCCGGCGAAGCGCTTGCTTGTGG